GCATTCCCATGTACAGTACAACATGGCCCGGCTGTGTCTGTCCCCACCAATGCCACTGATTGGTTCTCCCTGGATGGATAAGGAGAGAGTCACTGCCGGGAAACCTTTTCTCTGGCTGCAGTAGAAAGCCGCTTCTGCGCCGCCGCGGAGAGGCCGTCTCTCCTCCTCTTCTGTAAGACCAGGTCTGCGAGTGCAGCGTGGGCGGCAGTGAACATCTGCCGCCCGTGGGTAGCCCTGCGCTGCTTCTCCTGTCTGTCTCATTGGTGTCAGTTCCTCTTGGGATGCGGAAGTTCACAGTTCACTACTGATAGTGCTGTTGCAACTAGGAGACTTCGTGTTTTCATGGACACTCCAGTAGGAAAGTGAGGTTAAGTGCTTGCTAGTAGTTGTCGTCTTAAGCAAAGTCCTCCTGAGCCAGTTCATTCTTCTTTCTACTTCTGAGAACATGAGCCACGCGTGTAAGGGAGGGAGGACATTAAGAGGCGAGGTGCGGCCTCGAGGTTTGACTGATGGTTTCCCATTCTGCTTTCCTCCAAGATATCCAGTGAAGTTAATGAGTACCGAAAAATTGAGACTCTCACAAGCGTGGACCTGGACTTTGATGATGATGTCACAGAACTTGAGACCTTCGGAGTGACGGCCACCGACCCTCCCACGTCACCCGGCCCAGCACGTGCTTGCTCAGTCCCCATCGCGACAGATGCTCACCCCGCCCCTAAAGCAGCCACGGCCTCGGCTCCAGCTGCAGCAGACGCCTGCGAGAATTCTCGAAGTTTGTCTCGGATCCTGATGGAACAGCTGCAGAAGGAGAAACAGCTGGTCATCCGTATGGAAAGTGGCCCCGAGGAGCGCAGAGATAAAGGTGACCAGGGACCTGGCCCGTGCGGCGACAGGGTGTCCAGTTCCACTACGTCTGAAGCCTCACAGCCGGAAGGCCCTAAGGGAATCGAAGGTGCTGATGCGAGGGATGTGGCTGCAAGAGTGGCGGGTGCTGGAGAAGGAGCGCTCCATCCCCTGGAGGACAGGGACCGGCCGAGGGAAAAGCCTGCTCCGTCAGAACCTGCTGGCGCTGAGAGAGGCCTTCCTTGCGGCAGTGACACGGACGAGGACTGCCTGGTCATTGACACAGAGTGTAGGAGTAGCGGGGACGGGCCGGCAGCTGCTTCCAGTTCTCATCCGAGTTCTAGGCCCGCGAGCCCAAATCCCTCCACAGGACCGGGGTCTGTGGGAAGCCAGACTAGCCCGGCTGTTACTCGTAATCCTGAAGAGTTGTGTGTGTTAAAAAAGCCAATCAAACGAGTATATACAAAGTTTGATCCAGTTGGACAGATATTGAAAATGCAGACTGAACTCTTAAAGCCAATTTCCAGAAAAGAACCTGAACTGCTTTTGTTGAACTTAGAAAATTCTAAACAGCCCCCTGCTTCTGAGCAGGCCTCTGCTCCTCTGCACGCCACCAGTTGGCCCAAGTCGGGGTGGCCTTCTGCGTTTCAGAAGCCGAAAGGACGTGAGTATCTGCGGAGAACTTCCTGTGTTCTGTGGCTTCTCTCCCTAGTTCTTTGCTGTGAGCTATTTTATAAGCATTGCAAAGCCATTAAGACTGCGGTTTCTGATGGTTAGTGTTGCAGCTAAGAACGTGCTCTGTGCGCCCAGAGGCTGCTGTGACCGACCCGAGGAGAGCCGGCCTGCGCTGTGGCTCTGGGCCGAGACGTGCGCTTGGCGGCCACCCTCCTGCAGAGCGAGCGCAGTCGTGATGACAAGCGGGAATGAGACTTCTTGCTAAAAATCTTTTTCTTTTCACATGCTACAAAGTCTCACTGA